AGGAATGGCATGAAAAAAATCAAAGAACAACAACAGAGATGTCAATAATGACACACACATGTATACATACAAATATATCATTATTGACATATGCACATTCACTCGATTATTTTTGTTCATTTGATTATATTATGCATATCAATTTGTAAAATATATGACTCTAGTTATAAAATTATATAATACTTTTTCGCTTTTTTTAGCAGCGGATTTTTTTTTTTTTTTTTTTGCAGTGAATCAGGAATGCTGTCGCATTCCTGCGTGTTTGCAGTTTTGCTTCATTTTTGTCCTACCTTCCTTTTTCATTTATTTTCTTGCTTATTTTCTTTTAGCTCCCTCCCCTATTTCCCCTTTCTTTTATCACCTCCTTTTGTTACCCTTTTCCATACATTCCCAAAAATTCCTCCAAATCAATCATCCCACGAGGCGGACCCTAACACCCTTTACAAACCATCTTTATCTTTCCTCGGGGCCTCAGTTCCTTCAACTGATTTCGGCTTCATCAACCCCGCTCGCCACCTCTTGCGCTACATTTCCAGCCAATCCAATCTACGATCACGACTGGGACTCGGACCTCTTCTTTTCGAAGCCAAGGATATTCGGCCCCTCGGAAGCCCCTGCTGAATCCCCTGCCCAGCAGGTCATCCCGTTCGTCAGAGCCCAAGCGTTACGCTCTGCGTTACTATTACCCTTGCTTGTTTCGTAACAAGACATAAAAATTTTCATTTCCGGAATTGGCCCTTTAGTCTACGCACCACGCCGCATAGCGATTCACCATATACGTGAACAACCCATGCCACAAAAAATTTTACTAAATGAACAAAATTTTGTTCTTAAAAACTGCTGCAAGAATAGTTTCCAGGTAATTTTCCACGCATAATCTTTGTGGAGCAGGGAATAGCTGAATTCAGACTGAAACGCACTAGGCTTACCGGCACGATTATGTGTTTTTGCAAACTTGAAGCAATAAGATCGTGAACTGTATGAATGGTTGTTGCTTTACATCTACTTTGTGCGCTTACTAGCGTAAATCATCGTAAATTTTGCATAAAAGAAGATGAATGATTTTTGTCGAACGGTCATTTATGAAATGACCTAGCCGTTCAATGAGCAATATCCTCGCCAAAACTTTGATCTCCCATACGTAAGAACCACGTATACCTAGAGGCTTTCTTCAAAACCTTTAAGTTGTATAATACTTGGACAGGGAACATACCCTATAAATTTTAGCCTCTCAACTTTTCTGATTGCCAGCACCACGCACACCCTAGGAGCTGAATTTTAACCTTCAGCTCACACATGCAGAGAAAATGTCCCTGTAAAGTTTCAAATCTTTCTCCTGCCTGTTTACCGAAATCGCTTTCCAGCCAAAAAATTTGCATATTTTTTTTTGAGGCGTCCGCACATAGGACCCAAGCGTACGCAGATAATAATATTAAAGTGAAAAGGTTGCACAGGTGGTCGGCACGTGCTCCCGAGCTTTCTAGCCTTTCTGGTTCTCGAGTTGAAAGTGGGTAACAAAAAGGGCGAATGCATACAGCCTCTTGCCAATTTGCGTTTTTATGTGTTTTTGCGCTATAGCAGCATTATAGCGCTGCTACAGCCAGCAAAAGCGCATATCGCCGAGAGGCTGTCTGTGTATGTGCGTGTGTGTGTTCAGAAGCGAGTGCATTTTGTCACCCATTTTCATCTCAGCAACCAGGAAAGCTGGGAGGCTGAAATTTTGGCTGAACATATACCCCATGTGTCATCCTCCCGTTTCAAGATTTCCCCCAGACGCCTAGACCCTGCGTGCGGGTCTCCCCTCCCCTCTCCCATGAAAAAAAATATGTTAGCGGGAAACGATTTCGCGAACCAGGCCAGGTAGAAAGCTGAAACTTTGCAGGGATATTATCTATGCATGTGCGAGCTAAAGATTTTAAACTCAACTGTCGAGCACCCAACCACAGCCTCAAGCAGCTCCTCGACCCAAAAATCGTTAAGAAACCCATCGCAACCCGGATTCGAACCTCAATCGTATATGTAAACTAACATCAGTTAATTTCATACACGGATTTTTTGACAACCGACCGCCCGAGCAATAGTTCCACTTTTTAGTGAACCGAAAATTTGCACAACCCAGGCTGGAACGCACCAGGCGGCCCGGTGCGATTATGCGTTTTTGCACTTTTCGTACCGTAGCAAGATCGCAAGGAGTCAATGTAGCTAATGAAATACTGGCCCTCGAAGTTCGGGAAGTTAATTGTGCAACTATGTGGTGTGTCAGTTGTAGGTGTCGAGCCCTCGAAGTTCGGGAAGTTAATTGTGCAACTATGTGGATGTCAGTTGTAGGTGTCGACTTCAGTGACCCGACAAATGGAAAGTTGCTGGTCCGCAAAAAAAGG